CCCTAGCCCCCCCCCCCCCGTAAATCCCGGCCCAGAGAGTTTATAGAGCCACTGGCACCACTTTAAAGTTAATTTAATCAGCTACCCACCTGAACCATCACCAACTTTCACATGAGCATTGCGAAGCTGTGTCCAAGAAGTGAAGCAAATCCAAATATGGTGAACATTCCTCCACTGCCAAAATGGGAAGCTGCCCTATCTCCTCATCAAAACCCATCCACCGGGAAACCGGCTACCCTGTTAAATACCCAAACGGGCAAAAGCACATTTTCTGTGCAACTGTAGAGATCTGTCCACTTGCCGATTTTCAGGGACGCAATAAACACCAAGCCACAGCTCTTGGTAACGTGGACATCGTTTTAAAAAGACTTCACACGGTCTTCGTCTAGCCAGGGGAAAGGTTAATGTATTTGTATACATGGGGGCAGAGGCACCGTCTTTCTGGACACACCTGCAACTAATTCTTCCTCCAGAACTAAAACCTCCGTATTAACAACCGGGGGTGTGTGTGTGTGTGGTGGGGGTGATTTAGAAGGAAAGTTTATTCCCCAGCCTGCTTCTTTCTGATCACCTAGGTCAAAGGAACCAGAGTTTGCCTACTGGCATTTGTGGGGCGGGTTCGGATCGGAGCACAGGGGCCTGGTAAAGGGGTTCCAGGCGCCAAACTGCGCAAACCCAGGTGAAGCCTCCAGGTAGATTAAACTCCTCCCGGGCCGCCTCCCCACCCTACGCCACCCACAAAGGTCTCTGCCACTTCAGTAGCTGCAGCACTTTCCGCGAGATTGGGTGGCCCTTCTCAGAAGTCTCCAAACCCTTCACTCCACTTTGCCTCCAAGCCAGGTCTCCAGGATCACTGGAGATCAAGGGGTGTCTGTCGGGGCGGCTGCGCGAGGGTTAACAGGTCCAAAAGCTTCCTCTTGCCCACCCACTCGGTTGAGTAGAAGCCAGGTAGTGTAGCCCTAGCAGGAGTTCCCCCTTTTCTCACCTCCCAGGCCCACTCTTGCTTTTCCTGGCTGCCTCAGCCCAGGCGACACGAGGTGGCTGCGCGCAGGAGACCGAGCCACCTCCAAGCAGCCCCGGGACTTCGGGATGCGCCCTCGAGCCTGGCTGGAGGCTCCAGCGGCCTCAGCACCCCGGAGTGCCCATCCCCTCCCCA